TGAATACTAGGATCCAAATAATATAAAATTTTTCGCATAATTATTATGTACGTTTTTGCGTAATTAATGTATTTGGGGTGTCCGAAACTTTTGCTAAGGTACTGTATATACTTGTAATGTATTTTCAAGTGTTTCATAAATCTTGAACCCTGAAATGTTCACTTTGTTGCAGCATGCCCCATATAATGGGTTGCATCTTGATTTTTTTATGATGCATTTAAAGAACAAGAAGAATTTTTAAACAACAATAACAGATATACTCAGGGTGTAATTATAAAGTGATGTATAAATTTAAAAACTTATTTAAAATATATTTCTTTTACATTTATATTTATATTTGCATTTATTTTTATTTTTATTTTCAATATTCATATATTCATATTCATGCCACCAATTTATTTATTTCTGTATTTATAGGAAATGTCAGATATATATACAATATTATATAATGGATGATAATTCATGATCATCTCACCTCTCTTCAAATGCACAAAAAATAATGAAACATTATTATTTTTTACATCATCAGAATATAAAAATTGGAGAATCCACAGTAACATTGGAAAAGATTGGAATATTAAACATAACAAGGGACTTGGATCTAATTCATACAATGAGATGGTAGAATATTTCAAGAATATTGACATGTTGATTTGATGAAGTCAATGAAAAGTTGAAAGTAAATAATATATTAGACTGTATAACAAAAAACCAAGCCTATGTATATTAAAATCATCAATAAAGAAATATTATATTGATTTTTTTTATTTATTATAAACATTTTATTTTTATCAATTCGAAACTAAATTTCCTTCCCTCCGATATTAATATTAATAATATTCATGCCAATAAAATTTAATTTTTGCGCGATATCTGGAAGGGAGATCGTCACAAAATTTAGCTAATGAAATCAAATGTCCATTATGCTATCCTGATGCAAGCATAAATGATATATATAGTCCTGTTTACTCCATCCATAGCCCTACCGCTTGGATCTCACTCCTGGATCAAGAGAAATAATTCCAGCACCTCAACTACTGAAAATTCAGGACCTTTGGTCATTAGCCCTAATTTCAAGTGGTTTAGAGATACATAGGTCCCCATTTAAAAGAAATAATTATCACGTAAATATTTTATTTTTATATCAAGATTAAACAGTACCAATTCCTCTTCAAGTTTTCACTCATCAATAAAATAATCTTATACATTTCTCATTTCTTTATTAGACGTACAATATTTTATTTTCATTGAATAATTATAAGATTCGTTACCAGACATTTTATGAGACTTATAGGATTCAGAAATTTTGTAGTTCCTTCCTCGATTATCGTTTTGGTGAAAATTCTTTTGATCAAATATAACCAATAATATTGTGTGTGCATGTATGTTTATGATAATACTTATTAAATAAATAAATAAATAATTTTAGGCATTTGTTGGTGATAGATTATTCTAATGGTCGTGTTGAATCGAGTGTTAAATGTTCTAAATGAAATTCGTGGTGTAATCATCCTGGCCAAACTTTCAGTTATTCCTGTTAGACATGATTACTGGGGTTCGTTCACACACATTATGTCACCTAAAATGGCTGGTAAATGTAGTTCTGTAGTGTGTCATCTTGTACCTTTTCCCGAAATCGTTGTGGCGCTTTACACCGGAAAATTTTACAGCTTGCTGGAGTTAGTATCACTGATTGTTATACTACATCACATGGATCTACTCGAACTATGAGTATTTCGTTAAGGCGACCTTTGCTGCAATATGTTTATTTGACACCTGACTTATGAAGGAATGTTGAATTATCAGTCAAACGATTTGTCACGCAAACGATTTTCAGTAACAAATTAGGGAAGGTTATTTATAATAGAGAAAAATCTTGGTGTTCGAAAAAATAATAAATCAATTATTATTAAAAAGCAAATATTATTAAATTAATAAAACAAAATAATTGTAATTGTTGTTTAATGGCTTTAATTTAACCATATTAATGGTAAATATTTTTAACGAATATTATTATTAAAATTTTAACAAATAATATATATGTATAATAATAATATATTTTTTGCGGCCATTTGCATAATATAATGGAATTAAAAGGTCAAACAGATTATATTCACTTTATATAATATATATAATATTAATATGGTTGAAGACAGATTGGTGTTTGAATGAAAAAAATGGCTTCGCGACCTAATACTAATGTTCTCAATCCCGAATAACCAATTCTGTTCTTTTTTTGTGGGATTAAAAGTGATGTTACACTTGATGTGTACTACAAATATTAAATAATGTTTTTTTTTCCTAAAAAAAATTTTTCTTAATCAATCAGTCATGGAAAGTAAAAATATGATATCCATGATATCTGATGTTTCTAATGATAATTTAGTTATTAATAATGATATTGCAAACGTAAATGATATGGCAACGATTACAACAATGCAAACACCATTTTTACCAATTACATCAGAAATTTTAAACCAAAATCAAAATTCACAAACGGTTACTGTCGACGGCGATGATAACAACAATAAAAATAATAATATAAATCCTTCGTCTATTCAAATTCCGACACCGATAAACACAACTATAACTGAAACTGCGACAGAAATACCCGCGATTACTACAGCAACAACTACGTCCTCATCAAAAATATCAGAAATGCCAACGACAGAAAATGCAACGCCAATAATAACAGTATCCGACTCGACAACCGAACTTTTTAAAAGTATAAAAGAATATTTAAATAGTGATTTGAGCATAAAATCTGCCGACTATGTTTATGAGTTTCTTCGTAAAGTAAAAGACGTACCAAGAATTGATCGTGGTCATGTTATTAATATATTAACTCAAACACATGATCCAATTATATTACAAAAACTGGTAAATGATAGATGTAGCTATATTTTAAGAAATTGGATAAAAGAAGAAGCAAAACAACTGCCCGATAGTAATTTACTTCTTAGATTATTGAAAACAGTTCAACATCTGCCTGTCGATTTTGAAGTTTCAACAAGTTGTGGATTGGGTAGAGTAGTTAATAATAAATTGGTAAAAGAATCTAGTATACCTGGTGTTGCTGATATGGCATCCAAATTATTAAATAGATGGTTACAAGATGCTAGACAGTTATCAGAATCTGCTGGTAACAATGTTCACTCTCACATAAAAAACTCTAAAGCAAAAGAACATCATCCAAAAGATAAATCAGCGACAATGACAACAACAATAGCGGCAACAGCATCGTCAACTATTATTAATGATATGAAAAAAGAATTAAACCAACCTGTAGTAAAAGGTATTTTTGAAGATATGTTTGATTTTTCAAATATTGGCAACTCCTCTTTGTCTTCTACTTCTTCTTCAAATATTTTCAAACCTCAATTATCAAACGTGTTTAAAATAAAAGATTCTACAAAAACTACTCTTAAATCTGAAAAATTTGAAACAAAGGTAATGTCGTCATCATCATCACCATCACCGTTATCGCCAATTAATAATAATAGTAATAATAATAAAGATGATGATGTTAAAGTATTTTCTGAAATTAAATCATCATCATCATCTTCTTCAAAAAAACGAAAACGTGTTAGTTTTGCACCAGATTACATGCTCGAGCAAGTAAAGCTGTTTGAAAATAAATATCCTGATGATATGGAAGATGATATGTCGTCATTACCTGTTGGTGTTTGCCATGTTAAAGATTTGGATCGTAGTGAAGGAAGAACTGCTTTCAAGAGAATGAGAAAAGCGCCATCTACAATATGGTACACTCCACTTTTATTAAAACCGTCACCCTCTTCTTCTAGTAATAATGTTGATAACAAATGTAATAATAAAATAGTAAAAAGGTCTAGTAAAACCAATAGTCAAGAAGCAAACATTCAAGAAAGTCGTGAAAAACAAACCTTGGAAGTTATTTATCTTACAGTTGATCAAGTGCCTGATAATCCACGCGAACCATCTGATGATGATGGTAATAATAATAATAATAATCATGATGATGATAATGATAATAATAATAATAATAGTCAATTACTAATCCCTCCAAAAACAATTCTATTAAATAAAAAGGGAAAAAGTATTGAAAAATTAAAACAAAAAATTGAATTAAAAAAAGTTTTAAATGATACGTATTCTGCATGGTTATTGCTTCATCCTAATAATATTCAAAATGTTGTGCATCATCATCATCATGTATTTGCTACTGCACCTGCTCATCATCAACAACAACAACAACTGCAACAACCAAATGTTATAAGACCATTTGCTAATCCTAATTCATGGGTTTATGATCCAAATCAAAATGCTTCTAATAATGTCGGCTTAGGCATTGGAGTCGCAGCAGGATTAATACCAGGAATTGGTACAGTCAATAATAGCATAGACAGTAATAGTAATAATCAAATCATGCCAAATTATTATTATCATCATCCAAATCCTAATATTCCTGCACCAGCCCCTGTCCCACCTCCATTACAATTACCACAACCTCCACCTCCAACTCAAATACAACAACAACTTCCTGTACAACTTCCGCCATATCAAATATCAAATGCTTCACAACCAAATCAACCACCTCAACCATCATTCCAATTTCCTTATTTTGGTGGTAATAATCCTAATTCAACTGTTCAACCAAATCTTTATCCATCCCCGCAATTTCAATTACCCAATAATGCTCCTTCGCCTACACAATTTCAATTACCTAATAATGCTCCTTCGCCCACACAATTTCAATTACCTAATAATGCTCCTTCGCCCACACAATTTCAATTACCTAATAATGCTCCTTCGCCCACACAATTTCAATTACCTAATAATGCTATTCAACCTAATCAATACCCAGTACCTAGTAATGCTCATCCATCTGCACAATTTATGGGAATTATTAATGGCAACAACAATAATAAACAACAGCCAGCACCTTTACCTTTGTTAAATCAACCTTTAGTAAATGATCAAAATCAAATTATTAATAGACCGCCAACGAATTTAACAAACATCACGACAGCAACTGCAAATAATAATAATAATAGAGGGGGAGGAGGTCGAATTGGCCCTTCTAGTTCAGGAACTGGTAGACCAACTAGTGGGAAAGGATCTGAATGTTGGTATTATAAAGCTGGAAGATGTACCTTAGGAAATGAGTGCAATTTTCTTCATAGCGATCATTAATAAAAAAATCTTGATCGAGTAGGTGATAATTATTTTGCAAAGCTGTTATATTTTAATACAGAAAAATGTATAAATAAGATTGTCTTAACAAATGTTTGTTTTATATAAAACCCCCCCCCCCCAAATTTATCATAAAAGTTATATAGAATTCAACAATAAAATGTAAATATTTAAAATCAAAAACTTGATTTCATATAAACTTTTTAGTTGTTTTTCATTTGACACATGATTAAAATTTTATATAAACATGGATAAAGAAACATTTCATAAATGCTCTATTTTAGGAATGTTACCCACCATATATATTGATTATTAAATAAAATATTTAAAAGATGTGAATGCTCCAATCAATAATTTACGTCTACATGCAAAATCTTTCTTAAAA